CGTGGTCTTTCTCTCGTATGCGGTTTCCCAGTTACGTGTCGCTTCTTCTTCTTCTTCTTTGCTTGAATGGCTCCTGCTCTCGAACGAAGGTCAATACGGCCACAATCTAGCGTATAATGTATACAGAAGTGGCGTTAAATGAGAATACAAAGGCGTTAACAATAACAAATATTCTCTTAGAAGAGGAGAAAGTCCAAAAAATATGGTTCAAACAAAGGACACACGCGTAACGTGTTAGAACACATCCGTACTCGACCAAGGCTGTAACGGAAGTAAGGGCCGTGGCACATGTTTTTTACACCATGGTGGCACATAAAAAAGCTTAAGCAGTAAAGGTACATTTTCACGAGCCGCTGAAATCGATCGTTTGAACGACAAAAAGGATCACGTGATCGAAATGGACGAATCAACGGCCAGTAGCGGGATCCAGTAACTTGTTATTGACAGTTTTCGGTATCGTTAACTAACGACAGCCAATGGCAAGGACAATTCTGGTAAAAAGCGCAATTCTCATAGGCTATCGCTCGCTAACGACAACGATAATCGTCGCTAAGATGTTTAGAGAATCCTGCTACTGATGTCTTAAAAATTTTATCTTAATTATAGTGCTTTCCTGTTATAAGACCACTATTTATTTTCAAGCAAAATAGTCTTTAGCTTTATTTGATACCGAAAGCCAAAATAACTAACTTTATAAAATGTTATTTTATCTCACTCGCTCTCATTTTTGTCTTGATCTCGTCTTCAACGAGCCACCGGGAGGGACAGTCCTGGAAGATAAACAACGTCTGTGCCCCGGTTATTAGGTCACATCCGGCCTTCGAGTAATCTTATGACAGGATAACGCTTTGAAAAAAATCATGCGAAATATTTAAAAATGAAAATAAAAATCAATTAGGGATTGATTTTTATCTAATTACTTTTTGATATATCTTTGTAAACCGTAAAACAGTAGTAACTATATGGGTCTGAAAATTATTCGCGTATTCGAATTTTCAAATATTTCTTAATTAATCATTATCTTATTGTTAGTCTATATTATAGAATATGCTATATATAAAAATATTTTGAAAATATCGAAGCATCTAGTTTTTGAATTATAAACGATCATCATAAATCGGCTTCAAATATGGTCAAACGATTCATAATTCAAAGGAAGTATGTTTAATGAGAGACTTGTATATATTTTTTTTGTCTTCCTTTCGATATACTTTTTTTATTTTGAGCGCGATAAATGTAGTTAAAAGAATAGACCTTGAATATTGTATCTTAGACTTTGTTTGGCCCAGTCAGTCTTCTTCGCCCAATCGGGAACATGCTGGGAAGATTTTTTCAATTCGTGATCAACCTTATTATTTGACGATTTGCAATTCATTTTTTTATATGTAATGTCTCATTTGTTATATTACTGTATCGAATAAATTGCAAAATAATATTTCCTTATATTTTCCTGCAAACAGAATCACAGATTATGATTTCGCGAATTATTACGTCACGAGTTATGTTTGCGAAATTGGCGAGAAATTCCCAGAGACGAAAATATTTCACAAAATTACATATGTCTTTGCAACTACATATCTTTGTTATTTAAACAAAATTAAATAAAAGGAATCTTTTAATTTTTGTTATGTAGTATTAGTAGAATATATATATA